AGAGTTATAATTACCAACGCGGATCGTAACAGTCTGTGTTGCTAAGCAGCCATGTCCAGACTGCAACATTGTTTTTTCTATTTTTTGAATTTGAATTCATTTAGCCCGATTTGGCGCCTATAAGGCCCATGCAGGTGTCTACGAACTCTAGTATTTACGAATAAGGAAGCCATTGTGGTAAGAGCCACATCAACTTTTCAATTTATCTACACTTTAATGTTATATTACCTTCAAGAATTCCACTAATACTGTTATATCCTGTCGAACCTTTTGAGCTGGTTCGGAAGCTGTAATGATTGAGACTAGAGGTATCTGGAAGAATAGCTCGCACAGGAGCTTTCAATTGAAGTAAATAAAAAGATGTAATTGTCTGTCTGTCTTCCTTCCTCTTTCTCTCAGCTTATATATCTACACATATCTACTACCTGACGTAAGATGATAATATCTAGAAATAGCTTACTTACATCACAGGATACAATCCAAACATGTTGTAGCCAAGATGTAATCCTAAACCGACTCAATACCAGTCCACCACGTCTGTTACACGGACCCCAAGCATTTTCTAGCTGAAAATTACCCAAAACCCCAAGGTTTTCCTGAGGCAATCACAAATTATGTCAGGTACCAGCTTGGCATATTATTCTGACAATAATGCTACGATCATGTTAGAAGAATGGAATTTACATGAATCACGAAACATTAATTCAGGAATACGAATTCCACCGGCTTCTGATACTGGTCTGACATATCCAGTGCGGATACCGTCCATTTCATTGCTACCGGCAGGAGATCATGTGTCGCCTATTGCCCTCTCTCTCTCTCATCGTGGCTTCGACTTCAAGCGTCAGTCGAAATGGCTCAAATCTCCCTTCATTTTGAATCCACTTTGTAATTTTTGCCACATCTTTCGGGTTATTTATCATGGCCTCAAATGACCGAGACTCTGCCTTTCTCAGTATCTCCCCTCCCCCCTTGGCCAAGTTGGAGCAGGCCATAATCATGCCCTTGACATTTTGGGACGGATATCCACATTGGCATCGTGGACTCTCTACTCCGGGAACATGCCTTCTGTGCAGATAAGAGTTGAGCCCAATGTGCTCACTTCTTATCTGCATGGCTATGCTACTCTGGGCCCTGTTAAGGTTTTTGTGGATACTGATGGGTGTTCCTCTAGAGGTCATTATCGCTCTTCCTGTCTCTTCATCTATCCAGAGATTTGCTGCGTTCCAGATCTTGGGATCTGTTGGAAATTCAGACTCTATGTGTCTGAAGTTTCCCATGATTGGAACAACTAAGATTCTCACACATGACTCATGACCTAGATGATTGATATCTCCCTTACTGAGCATGTTTGATGCTTGAGACTCGACTAGTGCATGGTATGGTCTGATACACGTGTAGGCTTTCATCCACTGACCCTGACCCCATACTCATATTGTATACTGTCGTGCGTTTCATTGTCATTGTTAGAGTATGGAACGAGTGATGGATGGTATCTAGTCTGGATTTGGTCTATCAAGATTACATGTATATAAGCTGTCTAAGAATCACTAAGACAGATAATTAAATCAATTCAATTTATTCAGACCATCTTTTATTTCTCCACAGTTTATCACATATTCTCCCGATTCATATCATTATTATTCTATTCATAAAATCGCGCCCATATTCTTTGAGCCGCCTTACTCATCGAACCCATACCGGTTTTCCAACAGGATCTGCTGTCGCATAGTGGTTAGTAGGCTGCCTGGCCGTTAGCCTCGTCCGAGATTGTTCCCAATCTTTAAAGGCTGCGACCTTTCCAGCCGCTTTCTATCGTTCCTTGGTGTCAATCTTCCGCATATCTGGCCCCACTCAGCAATATCTAGGGTCCTCGTGAGAGCTCGTGCATCTTGCCTCCCTACTCGGGGTTACATACTCGGCCTACGTGCTGACGATATTGTATCTTAAACAGGATGGCTTTTCGATAGTCCGGCGTGTTGGGCTTTCCTTTGTTTCGGATATATCTGTCGAATGACCTAATGACTTAATGACCTTTCATCCTGGTGAACCAGTAATGGGGATCCCACCATCAAATTAAAGAAACCCCTAATTAGAATGGAAAAGATAAGTTGTATTTAAATAGTCTGTCCTACATAGTTATAAACTCAAATAGGACATAAATGGATTATTATTATTAATGACCTTTCATGTATTATCTTAGAAATGATGACTAATTATGTTGATTAATAATGAGTTACCTGTTTAGGAATGGCGTCATGAGAGAGAGATAACTGTTGTATATACGTGTTTCTTTTAGTTAGAAGGGAAGAAATAGAAGATATATGTTAACCACCAATTGTTATTACTGCTACAGAAGGCTTGTGATATAATATCACTCGAGTATTCCGACAATATCTTTATTGGTAAGGTAGAGGTCTCATGCTCAAGTACCTTACTGCTGGTCAAATTGTATGCTTCCGTGACGGTCTTTAGGCATCTTCTTTGGATACTTCGGAGGATTTTTATTAATATTATTCATTTAACTGTCCTGTCTCAATCTATAACTATGTAGGACATGCAGGTCCTCTTTATCTACAGGCCAAGGATGCCTATGCCATTAGTATACCCCCTCCTGTGCCTCCCACACAGCTCCCCTCACAAGTCCTCATTCGATCATACACATAGAAGAGCCCTTTGACTTTCATTATCTCCCCTCTCGTACCATCCAAACTATGGCCATTTACCGGTGTATTGCAGCCAGGGAAAGTTGCAAAAACCACTGGGTGCGGAGCTCTCCTAATACCGAATTAGGAGTAAGTACGAAGAAGCCGGCCAGCTGGCCGCTGCAGACTCGTGGGTACCCCGGGAAATTCACCCTCTGCTTTTCTAGCCTCTTTCCAACTCTTTGCCGAAGGTCGTCCTGAAATTTTAGAAATGTCTTGACAGAGTGTGATTTCTGAATGGCAGCTTAGCCCAAACTTTTTTGTGCCCATCCAGGGCTCTAGGGAGCGTCGTTGACTCATCGCAAATAGTAGTCCTTCCGGTTAGTTTTCCGAAATATCGGTCTTGGCGCCCACAAACCTTCCGAAGTTGAGACCTTCCGAAAGTTTCACTCCCAGCACGTTTTCTAGAGGCCTCTTCTCCCTCTCACTCCACATCTCAGCCGTCTGATCTCCCTCAAGTTGTTTGTCCCATAAGGGCACCAGTCTCTCATAAGCTAGAACCCAGGCCTTTTATATTTCGACTTAATTTCCTCCTTGTCGGTGTACGTAGAATCGTAATTTTGTAGTGGGTGATGGCTGGTAACTGATGGGGCAAGCTCTTGTTTGCAATCGGAGCAATTCCTTTATCGGTCGTTGAGGCGCGATGATGTATGGTTAGAAAGAGATTGCGGACTCAGAGGAGATTGGTAGGTGCTGCATGAATAAGAAGTCGTCAATTGAAGATGAGCCTTAGGTTACATTCGACATTGATTCTACTTGACTGTCTCAGGCATGCAGAGCATACTGAGCGATTACACTGGCACCACTGGAAGGTGAAGAACTAGTCTTTGCCGGCTACAACATTGGTAGTCCCTGTAGCTTGCTAAGCACCAACCCCATCATACCGCACAGGCCCAGATAGTCCATTCCCAAGGGATCAATACTGGGACAACACGACACTTGTATACCATAGAAGAATGTGTCCAAGTAGTATAGGACGCGCTCCTCTCCCAGTCTCATGCAGTCGTCTAATGTTATCAGCAATAAGGTGGCAGCATGCCAGTAGCTGAAAGGAAAGCCTCATATCAAGGGTAAGAGCAGCGTGTGTATCAGGTATCATGATTTCCCCCGTTGTCAGTCGGGACCCGAGATACCCTCTCTTACCATGGAAGTAATGGAGCTCAGATTCGACAGCCTAGAGGCAAAAACTATTCTCATGCCCACGGCAAAGCTCGTGGGCTGTCTCCGACACGAACAAACTGGCGGATGAGCATCCAATATCGCTTGGCCGAGTCGGATGTTGGGATAGTAAGCTTGTCCGCTCATTCATGTCCTCCAGACAGGCCGGTGAAGGGATCCAGCGCCGCCAAACTGCAAAAGGGCCTTGACATCAACACTCACCATGCCTGTAGCCTGGAATTTCATCGATGTCTCTATCGCATCATATGTAGCCGGTGGCCAGCTAACGGCGCTGCATTGATGCCGTCTGTAATCTCTGATTTTAGGGCCTAGAATGAGATGGCCCAGGCCTTCACTCACGCACACGAACGAATGAGGAGCTACTGAATAGGGATTGCGCCATCTTACTCGCCTGGCGTCGGCGGGAATGCCGATCTGTATTGAAATCCGCTTCGTTTGGCATAGAAGGCGAGAGGGTTATTTCTATGTCGGCTGAGCTCATGGCACCTCGTACATTGGCCAGCACCCATTATCTTACGCCAGCGAGGAGTCATGTCCGTGGAGGTAATGATTAGATTATATAGCACTCTCGTGATGTGTGGCTTGGTCAATATTCCGCCAGTCTTCAGACTCTTTCTCAAATCGCCCCACGTGCTGATACTAGATAGAAAACAGGACATTCGTACTTTCCCACAAGCCCTGCTTCGACGCTACACGCCGGTCTGGGCTCCCCAACACGAGTCAGGACTCTTGGATGATGGCGGCCATTGCTCCTCGTCCTGATGGGACAAAGGCCTCTGAGTCCCGGGGGTTGGCTTGGAGTGTCTCTGGTCAGTGGCGACGCCGTCGACCAGCGTTGCACATTCTGGGTCTGCGTGTGAATGGCGGCCGGTGGAATCTGCGACGGCCGAATAGCGACGTGCAAGCCGTGGGAAGCTCACTCCGCCCTTGGCCTCGTCTACGACATCACGGGAAGGCCAAGCTCGAGGCGCTGAGTAATGCGGGGGTCGCAGGCTGCAGCTCGTGGGCGGGGGAGGGTCCCAAGGGCGCAGAGCTTCGTGTGTTCTACGACTGATCCCGCCACACAACTGCTCTCCCCCAGTCTCGGACCATCCCGACGCCAACATCGACGTGGCCATGGGCGTCCCTCCTCTCCTATCCTCCCTCGCCATCCAGGGCGCCGCAAAGGCCTTTGTCCACGGCCAGAGCAGGGCATCGGCCCGTCAATCCTCGAGCGATTCTGCCTCGCTCACGACGCCCGCCCTCGTCGCTGCCCGAGCCACGACTGTCCTGCCCTCGGTCATCCGCATCAAGTCCACCGCAAAGAATCTCCCTGCATCTCACCTACAACCTAGACCTGGCGACGCCCCGACCATATTGGGCCCATCACGGCCGACAATATCGACCACCTCACACGTCTCGACGCCTTCCAGCCTCTCCAGCTGCACTCAGGGCAGATCGGCCGGCGAACAAGCTTCGCTTCTCTACCGTCCATCTTCCCTACCCAGCTCTGTTGCCCGCGATGCCGCCGCTGCTGCCGTCGCGTCGACATGTCATCTCTACATGCAGCCTCCCTTATCGAGCCCCTGTCTCGCCCCATCGACCATAACTCTCAAACCGACTCTGCGCACGTCGCATCGCTCCGACTGCGAGGACTCGGAGCCTACGTGCCGCTCCTCGGCCCAACAGCGTCGCTCCCTTCTGCACCCAAATCTTCACCAGTGTCGTCGTCGCCGTCCCATGGAAACCGTTACAGATCGCCAGCGTAGACGCTACGAGGCCGTATGGGCGAGCAACAGAGGTCTTTACCTTGACTCTCGCAGTCACGAAGCCGCCATGCGCCTATGTAATCTTGTCGTGCGCGACATATGGTCGCGCAGTCGCTTAGGTTCTGATGTGCTCCATTGCATCTACGAGCTCATCGACCGCGACCAGTGCGGCTCACTGCGACGTGACGAGTTTGTTGTTGGAATGTGGCTCATTGACCGATCGCTACGTGGTCGCAAGATTCCTAGCAAAATCAGTGATAGCATCTGGCTCAGCGTAAATTAATTAATGTTTGCAAGCAAGTTATCTATAGCTCCACGTATCTACAGTTGCTCGTTCCCTTGTGCTTGCGCACTTCAACGCCACGCCGCGCAAACCTTATACCACACGCTCTTGGCACTAAAATCCCTCTGACCTTATACCTCGACGGCATTTTGGCGCTGCCAGTATAGCCCCATCCACTTTTCATTTCGCCACTAACCCCTGAAGCAACCGTATCAAATAGTGACGCCGTAGAATCCCAATCCCCCAACCCAGACTCTTCGTTGCCAGACTTCTTTTGCCTTCCTCCCCACCATCCCTTTCCGCGCCAGCCCTTCAAATTGAAGCTATCCAACCGCTGCCCCCCCTCCTCCACCTCGCTTCATAAAACGTCCTAAGACTAGGCCTTTTACCCTTGACTTTGGTCCACGTCCCACTTTATCACTTGCAGCTGGCGTCTCTATTTTAGCCGAGGTAATAGCAATTTGTCCTTGTTCCCTCAGCTTGCTGGAGAAACTACTCGCAATGCTTGGCGTGCGAAGCAAGCTATTGTAACTACTGGCTAAACTCCGGCGTGAACTGTTTGATCTATCAATCTTACTTGCCGTTTTGGGTGACGGGTATATGGAGCTGGTGGCATCACTATTTTCATACGATTGATCTCGGCTGGCCGGTGTGAGAACAGTGTTGCTTGTAGCAATCTCTCGCAATCGATGCTGCTGGACTGTGTTTGGTCGGTGTTTAAACTTGTTTGCCACTATCGCTCCGGTATGTGATATCAGGGATCGAATTACGTCTTTCTTGAATGCAAGAGCAAAATCAAGATTACTCCAAGTTTTGTTACGATATTCAATGTCAGGTAGACGGAAAACTAGGTCGTGAATATCCTCAAAATTTCGCTCACCTTTCCCCTTGTAGGAAAGACAGAGGACGACAGACGGAATCTTCACATTCACAAATGTCATGTATGATGATGCGCGACCCATCATCTTTGTGAGATCATCGGATAGCTGCTCCTTTTTCGCCTTGACATCACGACGAACAATGCCAAAGCGTTTATACTTGACTTCACTCGTCTCCTTAGGCTGTATGTCTAAATTGAGGGAATGAAGAGGAGGCCGATTGCTATGATTGCCATGTGGATTACCACCAGAAGTTTTGCTGTCCAAAGTCTTAGAAGGACCTTTTGTATTAGAGTTAAAAAGGCGAAAATGGTATCCGTCCGTAACATTAATTTGAACATTCTTTTGCTTTTTGGTGAGTTTATATATTGTCTTTGAGCTCGGCTCACTTCTTAGGGTTGGCTTTAATCGAGATTCAGGGGGTTCAAGTTGAGAGTTGGGAGAGCTGGTATTACGGTTTTCCGATAATGGGTTTTCTAGACCAGGACTCAAGATACTTGCACCGCTCATATCATCCTCATTATCTGGGAAAAGCTGTATCGAATTAACCTTAAAGGGCGACTTATTCTTCGAGTCGGACGAAGAAGGGAATATATAGTCGAAGAGCTTCGTGCCAACATCTCGCTCTAGCTGTATCTTTAATGGAATCAGGTTGACCTCAAAGTGGTCCATCACTGGTATGCCTGCTATCGATTCAAGCATATACCAATATACTCGTAACATTGGCTGCTTATCACAGTCATTTGATTTGCCGTCGACATCTGAGTAAGGCGCAAAAATTTCAGGATATATGGCATCTGGTAAAAGGTTGAGCCCTATGATCTTACCAACCTGCATTAGATTGATGTGAGAGCCATCAGAGTTGTCTGTTCGGTCGTACTCGGCTCTTTGAAGTTGAAATTCCAAAAGGGGTTCGTTATTTTCTCGAATTAAGTGCCATACAATCTGTTGTGAAGATATATTCCACCTTAATAAGCCACTAGTCTTTGATGAATCATATTTTCGCTGAGACGTCGTAATAGCTTTCATCATAAAGAATAACTCATTTGTACAGTTGTTGAGGTCCCTTTCGAGAGTCTGTATATCTTCAGAGTCTTCTGCTTTCAGATAATTTGAATTAATGAGCAGGTAAGTCTTCATTTCACCGAGTTGTCTGATTCGCTCTTGAAGTCTAATAACCATTTCCGGAACACCTCTTAGGTCGCTAAAGTCTGAAGCCAACATTATCTTTTCGATACGCTCGTTCCGCGTTTTTTCTAATGGCTCACTGTACATAAGTAGATCCATCACTATAATATACATTGCGTAGTATTGTGCAGAATCACAAATTGCACGTATCTGTGGAAACTCCACCCATAAATGGTCCATGCGGCTTTCATGGTGCTGCTTTGACTCATGCCCGTGCTTAGTATCAGAGCCAATGTGGTCGTTGTACTTAAGCCTCAATGTGTTAAACTTGTCGTATCGCAAAGAAGCTGAAGTTTTATGAACAACACGTTTGAAACCAAATGGATCAACTTTAAAATCGAACATAACTTCCATGGGAACCCAAGGTGGCCAGGCCGAGTCGGAGGGAACACCATAAAGATTTCCGGAATACATAGAAAGTAATTGCGAAGAGAATAATTTTTGGTGCGTGACGAAAAACTGTATACTATCCATCTCTACTGAGAATCTTCTTTGAACAAGACCACTAACATTGTCAAATATTCGATCTCTATCCATCACCTCGACAATTTTAGCTTCCATGCCCTTAGCAGTCACGAGGACGACAGCTTGGGGGTTCTTTTCACTTTGAAGCTGTATTTGTGGCGCGATGAGGTGAAGATGATAGCTATTCATAGGAAGAAATTCACCCGAAATATTCGAATTTAAAGTATCTGTAAATACTCGCTTGGCTACATTCTCAGACTGAGAACTTTTGTCGCCTGTATTGCTGAACTTTTTACCGTCAGCTAATATTTCGTTGATACGACTCTCCATATCTTGGCTATTTTGCTTAGAGCTTGAAGTGACTTTCGAAGTGTCCCGCGATTGGGTTGTGGTGCTTTTTGGATAATTTCTAGGTTTTTTTTGTTCCTGGACAATATCAAGAATGAACTGAACAGCACGTCTAGACAGATAGTAAACGAGTCCGCGCCTTTGGCTGTTTTGGTGGATGTACCGTAAAATGATATTCCGAAGTAAATTGTTCCACTTGAGTTGCATGTTATGAATTACAAATCGGTTTTTAAAATCACTCTGGAATTCAGATAGTGGGTCCATTTCAATGTCGTCTTCTACCTCAATATTCAGAGACTTTGAGTGGCATGATTCGGCTTTACTTGTTTCTCCACACTTATTTCCTGATGATTGTAACTTCTCGCTTGAGGTAGCTGCCTGGGGGTCGGTATCAATGTGAATAGCCATACGGCGCATCATTGACTGAAGGAAAGTATTTTTGACGCGCAAGAGGTTGTTATGTTTCCTTAGTTGGTCAAGTTCCACTTTAAGAGCTTCATTCTTTCTGTCCTGGATAACTTTAGTCTCGGCATCACCTAGAGCTAGACCATGAAATTTTATCTGCTTTTCTAGCTGCTCTAGACGGCTTTTAATTAGGTCATATTGAACTTGATAGGGGTCATCGTCTTGCGTCATGATACAAAAGTGGGTTGGCTCATGACCAAAAGAACTTGTTGAAATAGAGTCTCCAGTGAAATCTTCTCCATGATCAGTTCGTCGAAAATAGGTAAAGCGCGGTGCGTAGGCTAGTGGCAAAATTTTAGTGTTTGGGGTGACATTTGACATAGGGATCCAATCCATCTCGACGAAATCGTCCACATCGATCCAGCTAGAATCGTCATCGGGAATATAAAAACTTGATAGATGGGGTATTTCGTCATCGTGATGTATAGTAGATGAGGTAGGGCCAGTTTTCACACTTCCAGAAATATTTTCGGCGGTACTTGCCGTAATCGCCCGGACGTCTGCAGAAATGAGATCTAACTGTGCTTCATGCATCTTCATGCCACTTGTCTTGTCCTGCGTCTTAAGGCATTTTTCATGAGAAGGAAATTCTTCTTTACGCTGATGAACATCTAACATGAAGCTGTCCAGCTTTATCTTGAGACCAGTTGCGGATATTTCGTCCAACTTGTGTTCTGAAACATGATTATGTCTATGAATGTGACTTATAAATAATGGTGCAAGTAAGACGTTGTATTTGATAGTTGCAAGGTGCCTTGCAAACTTCTTGCTAGACTTATCGATACCAGGCCATAAGGCTCCTTGACGAATCGGTAGAGACATGGAGCCTCCAAACATTGACCACCACGCAAAGAAGTGAGAAAATAAACGCGGAGTCAAATGAACTGTATTGTAGCTTGGTGAATTTGTCGTAATGTAATCTGGGCGATCCTGATCAATTGGTGCCTTTACAGCAACCGATAGATGAATATGGTTACTACGAAAGCCCCGAAAAGCATCATATGGAAGGCCATCAGTTGAAATGGCACAGTCGGGTCGTTTCAACACAACCTTATAGTGCGGCGTAAACTCAAATGATCTCTTATCTGAATCCGACAAATTTCTTTCAAACATTATTCCTGCTAGCCATTGAACATTGCCTGATAATTTCATAACAACTTTTTTGAATGTTGCTCCACTTTTGAAACTATCTGAGCTTGATACACTGTCCGCATCGCCACCAGGATCATAAATAGACATGCTTCGAGCTTGATGAGCGAGATCTGGCACAGCAAGTATGCATTCACCACTATCCACACTCATAAATTTCCTCGGGTCGTCGTCTCGATTGATGTTCCAGCGTACATTATTTCGCCAGCACATGAGAAAGCCGGCACCGTCTCCAGTGACTGCATAAGGGTCTCTAGTTCCTTTGAGTAGAAGATGAACGTCTCCATCACCTTTCCAAGCAACGCTAACGCGTGAGTGGAAACTAAGTCTTATCTTATCCCAGAAACCAGTACGGTCTGAAGGATCAACTTGAGGCTTTGTGAATGTTTCAATAATCATCATCATATCTTGGATGGCAGGTTGGAATGACGAGCCCCAGGTAATGCGGGTTGGATACTCTGTATTGACACTCACATTGATATCTGAATATGATTTAACTGCTGAAATTGTTCGTCGAACATTAATCGAGAAAATTCCTTCTTTAGAATCATCAGCCGATTTATCTTTCGCCGGTATTACATTGACCCTGACAAATCTGGATGATTCGTTTCCTCTGAATTCTTCCGCAATTACGAAGTCGGCCTTGAGAGACCACGCAGACAGACGAGTCGGTTGATTTGGCTTGATGGGAGGAACATGTATGAGAGGGAGAGGATAATCTCGCAATGTGATACGGGCTTCTCCCATATCAACCTGTACATTCATTGGTATCAAAGAGGAATATCGCATATCATACGGCATGCCTTTTCCAATATGGTTGATGAAGTCTGGCAGATTACACATGGGAAATGACGGTGCCCCTATCTTGACATGAAGATCCGATATTAAAGCACCCATCAATGCGGGCCGTTGTGGAATTTCGAGAATATTTCCATCCAGTTTAATATCTTCTGGTATCTTATCAACTCCCCAAAAAGCCCCCCGTAGTTCTTTCATTTTTTCCTGACCTTGACTAAAAGCTTGATCAATATTTAGTTTCCAACTTCTAGCGTTGTGTAGCTGTAGATTTTGATGCGCTTGGGAAATTGATATTTTTGCAGAGCTAGTTAATCTACAAGTTTTGTCTGGATTGTAGCATAGTTTACGATTAAGAGGAGAATGTGATCGATGAAATTGTGACGATAAGCCATCTTCGCTTCTGCTTCGGGGTCGATCAGAATCTGGAAATTTACTTCGACCCCGGGGATTTGAAGGCCTATTTCGTTGTTTATTTTTATTTTTTAACACTTCTTCTCTAATTTTCTTTGCTTTCATGTTGAATGCCGTCTCGCGCGCTAGACGTTTTTCTTGTTCCACAAGCCCCGTCCGATAAATAACGCCAAGTTTCCATTCAAATGCTCCATCTTCTAGCTCAAATAGGAAAACTTTGCTACGAATCAGAATATTTGGTACAATAGTAGGCGTTTCCAAGTGCTTTTCTTCAATTTTTCTGTGATTTCCAGAGGAGAACTGATTGTGCAGCTGTTTGACTGACTTGAGGGTATTTACAAAATTGTCCATAACTCTGTGCACAATGAGCTGATGGGGGATAGCTAGACGCACTGCTTCAGTTTTGACATCTATGAGGTTCTCATCTTCAACGTCACCGGTTTTTGTCTTGCGTCTAGCTTCGCGATGATCAATACGGAGACTTTTTACACTAATAACTCGAGCCCATGTTTGAGGAATCTTGGGTGCTTGTGCGTAGACGCGAACTAATTTAGCAATAACAAAAGGAGGAGACCATCGATGGCTTTCAACCTCAATTCCATAAATCTGTAACATCATATCAGGATCTGATGGCATTATTGCCTTCACTTGAAGAACAGAGGCCTTGAAATGAATGGAAATCAGCTCCTTAGGTAATAGAATTGCTTCATCAAGAGTAATAGGGTTATCTGAGGGCAGTTCTTCGGAAAAAGTCTTGCTTTCATCGTCATATTCAGTAACATTTCGAACATTCTCAGCCTCAACTTTGTCAGTTTGTGTGCGTACAACAGCTCTCCTTAGGATCATAATAGCAACCCCGCAAGCGTAATGCTGATACAGAGAGTATTGAGCGAAGAGAGAATACACATTGAGGATAATGTGGAAAATCGGACCTTGTCTATCACTTGTCGTAGATAATGTACATTCAATTTTAGGCATGGCAACAATAGGATCCACTTGCCATTCGTTTGTAGGTTCAATTACGAACGCCTCTAGGCCTTTTACATGGATGCAAAGACGGCGACCATTGGTCTGATGATACCCTCGTGGTAACTGATTATTTTGACGTGAGTCGACTAAGCTTTTTGACTCAGGTCCTGGATCGGTAGATAAATTCCAGCTCGCTGTGTGCTTAGGAGTCCCCCTATTTATCTTTGCACTCTGGTTCTGGCTACAGTACTCGGCAGTCCATGACTTTAATCTAAGCGCTAGACCACGTGTATCTTCTGTTATTTCTTCATCTATACCGGCAACTTCAACGCTGAAGTCAGACCCTTGTATTGAAAAATACAGTAGCCAGTGAGGTAGTGCACGGATACAATTAGGGTATTGGGAGTTATCCATAGGGCTATTGTTTCCTGAGTATGAATCTAAGTTTAACTGGCGAACAATGTGACGGACCCCATCGATAATTTCAGGCCGATTCATATGAATGGAGAAAGTTTGCAAGTTTCCAGTTGCTGTTACTGAAAGTTCATTCTTGGCTAGAATCTGCGCTTTAAGCTCAAGTGATTCGGTCTCTACGAGCTGGTGGTGAGCACCCATAGAAGTCTGATAATACAAGGCGTGGGATTGTAGCCTAAATGTGGAGCCGAGGCAGTAGTGTAGGTCCTTGATAGCGGAATGGGACGATTCTATATCTAAAGAAATTGAAGAAATCGAGGATATAATAAGGTCAAAGTCATCTTCTCTTGCATTTTCCTCAACAGGTGGTAAAGATATCCTAAAAACGGGCTCATGCATAGAAAATTTGACATTTGCCTTGGGCAAAAACTGTGAGATAAAGGAGTGTTTTTGGGGCTCAGCTATCTTTTTGATAGTCTTTGGTTGAAATTTGTGCATGGATGAGAGGAGTGCCAAATTCTTAGGGTTAAGGTCAACAGAAAGCGATGTGATTACTACGTTTGCAAAAAGGATGTTCGCATTGCGCTCATCGGCACTGATACTTATCGCAGGATCAATTGTCTTTGAAGGTAATGTTGTCCGCACGGTAGTAGTAGCCATAGGAATGTAGGTCAGTCGTTCAAAATTGCCAGCACCATCATCAATACCAATAGCAATTGAAAGAGCCGCGACAAGTGCTTGGTGGGCAGTATCATTGGCTGAAAAATACATTCGATGGGCTGGTGACTTCTGATCAAGCCGGTGAAGATCTATGCCAACTTCCTTCATAGATGCGTGAAAATTTATTGGCGTGAGTTGGGTCTGCGAAGGATTTGTCTTTTTAGTAAAGCTGATAAAACTAACTGCAAACTGGACCTCATTAACACCTCGAATAACCGTACCAATCAATTCCTTAGGACTGGGAGGCTTCTTCATAGCATTTTCAGGTAGGCTAGTTGGCTTTTCGCGACTGCTCTGATGCACAGGAGTTGTAGACTGAGCCCCAGATGAAGTGAAATTTTCGTGTCTCTTGCAACATAGCTGATAGCGGTCGACGCATTCTTTTATTTCTTCGTAGGGGATATGTACTCGACCCAACTTGAGCGATATTGAGGCATCCTTTAGCTCGTCCAACTCTCCACAAAGAAGGCCATGGATATTGAGAGCCATGTGGTCAAGAATTTCAGAAGATTCACCGCCTTCAACTGTAAAAAGTATACTCCGAATCGAAAATATCCACTCCGCAGAGAGCTTGAGGTCCCGCAGTGTTCTAACGCGCGAGAACATTCTTCCAAGGTCAACCATCTTTCGTCTAGTATCGACGGCCATGGAGAAACTTCCCACTTGTACATTTCCTACATCAACAATATTCACGGTTAAATTGGTCGCTACTAGGTCTACCATGCGTATCCAGTAGATTTTTCGATGAAGACTCTTTATTCCATTTTTAATACGGGTGAGAAGTTTCGAGCTTGAAGTTTTGTGACGGTCATCATTATTATCAGGTGTTCTGACTTGCTTTTTGGGAGCATTTTCAGTATCCTTACGTGGACTACTTTTCTGGCCTGTTTCTCTGAGTTTCTCTTTTTCTGTTGCATTCAGATCTACAGTCACTACGAGCTCTCTAAGAACAATGCTAAGCCATGTTGGCTGTGCAAATGTAGGACGATGAATGTTAAGGCCTAAGCTTCGTATATCTATGGCCACACCAACGCTAGGTTTGTACGTGAGCCTTTTCAGGGCGAAGTAGCCAATGCGCTGAATTGATATTCCCGTGAGGATTCTTAAGATGGCGAAGAAGACAAAAGACGATAAATATGTGACTACAACGACACCAAGAAGAAATGTTGGGTTTAGGAGAGCCATTTGGTATCTAGTCCCATTCATAGACGTGAGCTAGATGCGTCTTTGGTTTCGAGCTCAAACCCTTGGGAAGGAAGTGTTAAGTTTGCTGGTAGTGCCATCCGAGGATTCTACTCATAATTATAGAAGTGGTTGCTATAAGGCGATAATTATTATCTTGTTATTATTCCTTGTCGTGATCGGGATGCGCTATTAAAGTGAACGAATGCGACAATCTTGTCTTTTTATTGAAGTTTGTGAAATAGTACACAGCATAGTTATTGGGCAACCTATCTGTTAGTAGGAGTCAATTACTTGGGACTCATCTCCTTACTGGCTTGTTTGTGTCTTATATTTCGCTCTCAATGATAATTGATAATTAACAGAGGTGATGAGTTGTCGATGGCGCGCGGCCGATAAGCTCAAAACTAACTGTCGATCATAAGCTCGGACGCGTCTTCTCCGTGGAACATTTCGGGCCGTTGGCTGAATCAACCGCATGCGAGGGGTCTAACAGCAGTATTAAGGAATTGATTGGTCACTTTTGGCTTACAGAGACAGGAGTATTTCGAGATTACTGCTGTTTTACCACACCACAAAACTCATACAACTTATGCTTTATTGGGAGCGCACACCCCCAAGCTAGTCAAGGTAATATCAGCAGGGAGCTGAAGTCAGAAGTGACAGATTGCCATGATCAGATATAGTCTACCCAGATAGCGTGTAGGGTCTATGGTTGTAATCAGGTTTGGTTTATTTGATCCAAGGGCGAACCGGAATGCATTGATTTCACCGAATCCTGAGACCATAGAACCTGCGCAAGACAACTCAGCAACTACAGTTCCGGATCCCCCGATGACACAAATAGACCACTAGATCACATAGTGGCCCGCTCGGGGAATGAAATATCCAGAGTCAATTCCCCGACTATGAGCTGCGGATTATCCATGTCAGAAACCCCGTACCTTGATCTACCAGACCCTTTTGGGCAACCAGCAGATTTCCACGTGTCACGTGCCTCTTGGTCTGCTAGACAGTGGATCTCGGGACGCAGGATTGAGGCTGGAGCTGCATCTATCATTTTTCGCCTGGTGCAGTGACGCTCATGAATCGCTGGCAAAGGCGAATTCTTCACCCTCCAGTGGTTTGGGTGTAAATGCTCATTATTCTTTAGACGCCCGAGATATTTAAGACGAATCGCATTCGAGTCGAGTTTGAAAGTAAACAAGCATATCCACATTCAATGATTCCCATCGATGTCGGCCCTACCTTTCTCATGCAAGTCCTTCAACTCATTCTTACCACCAACCATCTCGCCTCAACGACCGATCAAGGAGTTGTCTTGATTAAAAACGGAATTTTGTCTTGTCATACATTGCTCATCTCCTGCTAAAAAATAAGATGCTATGTATATCTGCAAGGAGGAAAACAAGTCGTGTGTCAGAAGGCTGCGGTTTTAGCCCATGAGAGACCGCTGCTCTAATGGAGCTACATAGCTTGACCTAGCACTGGCAGCTGGAAGGGGTAATGAGAGAGGGAAGACGCCATCGATTGGAATGATGGGATTGACGTTATTTAAAGAGTTGTCAACATTAGGGTGTTAGTGGATGCCAAGACAAAGTTTTTGTTGAATGATATATTGGCATATCTTCCAGGTTGATCTACCAAGCAGAGTCTGGATAGCTTGGACACCTATCCCACTTGCAATAGGAGATGGTTTATTCGATTTCAACAGTACTGGATCATATTTCTCGTGCTTCTCGTATGCGTGGATAATCATGAGGTTTTAATTTCTCTTTGGTGGGTATTTGAGAAAGAGGATCGACTGTTCAGTGTAAATGAACATACCTCATAGTGTTATTTCCACATGAAATTTAGAGTACAGTGTCTAAAGTCAAATGAATCACACTATATGTGTACAGAGCATCGATCATGTTTTAGAATTGGAAAACTGCAAAGACAGTTAATGGCTAAAGAAAAGACACTTGTGTATGGTCATAGGATGTTGTCACTTGTGGGAAAATTACAGTAATGGACAATTGCTTAGGGATGATATAAGTTCTCCCTCGTAGTTTCATGCTGGACTGCACTCGATACATTGCAAAGTAAAGCCCAAGTCCTTAAACCTATCCTCCAATAGAAATTTCTACATGGGGGAATAGTTTTGGAAAATCTCGGAATCATTATTTGTTTCTTTAGTGGCATTAAATTAAAATTCGTCATTTTATGTTTCTGCAGCTGCTGGAAATGACACATGGCCGTGCTTCTTTTTTTATTTTTTTTATTCTGATCATTTTGTATTCAGCTTGCTAGCTATGACAAGGCCAGTGCTTCATGTGCATGTTAGACGCCATCTTTGACTTCAGAGATAGTCAGACTTGCATTTCATTTGACATTGGCAGTGTGGAATCATTTGCTTACATTAAATTGCCAACTCATGTCTATGAATGCCCATGGAAGCCTTTGATCATCAGAGAATGCTCCCACAATTCTGTACACAAGTACATCGAATGTGGTGGCCGATTATTTCCGGGCCAAAACTAGCGATTTACTGTGTCAAGTAGAAGAGGAGTCCAAGCTATTCAGACTTTACAAAAGAGTGCAACGGGTGACGAAAACTCAACACCTGTCAGCGGTGTCCCCTACAAGTCTCCAGCTCTGACTGCAGAGTCAAGGTTGAGTAGAACCTACTCAACTTTGAGCTGAGTCATCTCCCACTCCCCTACAGATACACTTTATTTTACTTAACGTTCTAGGCAATTTGGACCCTCCGCATCCCTATGGGAGCATGAGCACAAGTGGGGCCGGGCTAGATCAGATTAACTACCATACAAGTACAATAAAACTAGTCTCACTTAATTGACCGAACCACCTCAGACCTCACCTATGTGCTGAATCATACCAAGCCCGAACTTTCCAAACCCCGCTGGATATAAGCTACAGCGCAAATTCCTTCTCAGCCTCGGCCACCGCGCGCCCGAGCTCGTGCTCTTGACATCCTTGTTGACTCCGACATATAAATGTCGCCAGAAATCTCATCGTTGCTCCAGCCTTGCACCTTCATATCGTACCGTTGAAATGCTGTCATCAGTTGGGTTCTGTGTGATACCATGGGTGCATATTCCCTATTTTTATTCTTTATACATGTCCCGCTTTATCATAACTTTTCTCATCAGGGCGTGTGTAGGTAGATGATGTGAAGAGAATTGGGGCGGGTCGCAGTTGTAGGATCGACCGAGAAATGCTTCGTCGCAAATAAAAAGAAGCATAAGAGATGTCGATTGATTGAATACGACCCCAAGATAGACTCAGATCTATTCGTGAATCACATGTTGGTGATGAGTTTTTGTTCAACTTTCTTGCGCTGGTGAAATTTCTGTTGACTGATTTTTCGACCAAACTACTGAGTGCAACGTCTTCAAGTCGAACATCCATCAAATAACATTCATATCACCTTTGTTCCTGACAGAATATCGGCTATAGGAGAATATTTCACTCCTAGGTTGGTAGAGGAAACTACTAAGATGTGTTCGGCCTTCGTTTTCCATATATACACTTTTGATAACATGTAAGACGACCAAGACGAAGATTGTGAAGCTGAGGAATTAGGAAAGATAATGCTATACCAAACGCTACAACCGTAGTCAAGGAATCACATGTCATATCACAACATCTACTACCCACTAGCGCGCAAACAAAAGGCCTACGAAAACAGAGTAAATGACCCTTCCGCATTCAAGAAAAGCAGATTTCAACTCGTCTACAATATCGTCGCTACTAATCTATACCTACGAATCTACTAGCTAGGAGGGCATCTGAAATACACGAGTTACTCGACGACCCCACTTCCGTAACGACTTTTGGATGCTAGGCTAGGCTCCTTCGCGGCAGTCTCTCTCGGCCAAGACTTTCCTGACATCCTTTCACGATCTTTGGTATGTCCCGCGGCATGGATCAGAGAAAGAGGAAGGAGAAGGCTAGGAAGGTTGAGAGACGCTCTTAGGTATACACAGGTCTGCTGCGCCCGGCTGGCCAGCCTCTTCGTCATAGGAGAGCTCCGCACCCAGTGGTTTTTGAGACTTTTCCCTGCAGCCACACACCCGCAAATGGCCAATCGCTTCGTTGGCTGTAGAGGGGAGATAATGACGGAATAACGGCTACTCTTAGTGTGTACTCAAATGAAGACCTGCGGGGGTATTACTGCTGGAAAGAAGTCGTGAAGGAGGCATAGGAGGGATTACACTACCCAAGGCATGGATATTCCCGGCCTATAGGCAGAAAGGACATACATGTTTTTATCTAGTCATAGAGTCTTTAGGACGATAAACATAAATACACTAAATAGGGCAGCCCACGTAATATACCAAAACAATGTACAACCACGAGTGTCTTTTCAGCGTTGGATTCACTCTCTCAGAACAAGCTATGGCGCACACAATGCCCTCTTGACTTGGAAACTCCTTCCCGGATATTGAAACTCTACTCCTACCAAAGCCATATTCATCCTCGGCTTAGTCTCGTACATTTATCTTGTTATCCCTCACACCCAGCCCAAAGATATGGCTCATGAGGCCTTTTTATACTCTGTGAGCTCTTTCCGGTATCAAAATCGTCATGAGCGTATTAATAATAATCCATTTATGTCCTATTTGAGGTTCTAACTATTTAGGACAGACCTTTTAAATACAACTATTCCTTTTCATTGTGATTGGGGTTTCCTTGATTTTATGTTGGTATCCCCATTACTGGTTCACCAATTCATGAGCGTGTACTTAGAGGCCATATATAGAGTAGACGATGAGTGTAGTCATGGCCAAGAAGATATATCAGATCGTAATGAAAGCATCGAGGAGGCTGTGGTAGGAATATTCCTAGAAGGTAGTGAAGAATTAACGTGGTCGGGGCTCTTGAACCCTTTTTTCAATCATTTAATATGTATTCAGCCATCTAGCTATGACACACGACCGGTGCTATGTTTACATGATGGATGACTCATTTGACGTTAGAGTTACTCATACTCCGGCTCAGTTTGAAAATACCACAGAGGTATGTTTGCTTACATAATCGAGTCTCCTCCGTAAGTAGCGACGCGAAGGGAATTCAAAAGCTTTGGATGTCCAAGCATGTCTTCGTCATTGGTCTGAGCTTACACGGCGAGGGATGCGCTTGTATTTTTCCGGATTCGACTCAGCCATCTCCTGGCTCGAGTGGGATATGTGTGCGAGCTATCCAGACCTCACCTGGAAGACCAGCCAAGATAGTCTACCATCGCGCCACCCAGCCGTGGCGGCTCTCGAACCCTCACTTAGCAGGCATGCGTGGTACATGATGTGAAATTTCCTGGAGATCGAATGTACGAGAATATTCTTCTCTCAGTCTCATAGAAATCTCCGCTTGCCGGGCCGTGCGTGTTCTGATCCATCACAATTGAAACCGTGCAGTGATACCATGACTCGTGGCGCTACTCCAGCTAATTCGGTGGAAAGCAATAGCCAAGCTCAAGTCATGAATTTATGTCTGTCCCTCCTAGCTCCGACCTCGGAAATATTATCCGAGGCATGAGTGCTCTTCCTTCATATTGAATCGTCTATTATGTACTTTTCTTTGATATTGACTCATGGCTAGATAGCTGCACACGCAATTAGCACCTCGCGCAAGAAATAAGACTCATTAATCTTTGATTTGTGTCTAGCTTACTAATTGCAAGCTAACCGCATTTAGTGGTCTATAATACAATACGTAGCTTGTTAGGTTTAGGATCCACGGGCGTGCGTCTCCGCCAGCTTCCCGAGTAACTGGCATATCTAAATGCAATCGCTTGGGTTTGATGGTGTAGTGGTATACTCGGAGGGCTGCGCTCTCAAAAGAACGCAAGACTCCACCCTCACTCTGTCTGAACCGAGCGATTGCTGCACAAATCACAGAAAAGCTCAACCACACAATCATAGATATTTTTGCTCATAACGATAAAATGATTTCCGGATGGCGAAGGGTTCGCTGTAAAGCTGATATTTAAGATACACTCTGGCAAACACCGTGTAAGTTCAGTAAGTGGTCACTTCATGATTAAATTTGCAAATGAAACCTCAGAGATTTGTTTATTGCACTAATAGAGTAATAGAGTATCTAGCACATTGGGCTCCTCTCTGGCCCAGGCCACACCTTGTACAGTGCTCCTTGCCTCTTTTACTACTTGAAAGATCATTGATATATTCGCCTTGATGAGTAGTCATTCAGCTCAGTGTTTACTCGCAGAGTTCAGCCACCTTTCCTACGGAATCCTCTACCCAAAAAAAGGTAGGAATGAAAACTGTGTGCGTCGGAAAAAATTTCAAAAAACCTGCAGCCCTAGGCACGCAGGTGCGTATATACGCCTACACCTCCCTTCTTTGTAACAGTCGAGGCCAATTCGACCCAATCCACCATCGCCGTATCGGGGGCTGGCTACGCTCTGGGAACTCATCTGATGGCTTTTCCGCCATGATCAAGGGTTGGTGATGAGTAGGGCTTCGACCCCAACATCTGATTGCGAATGTTTTGGGAATCCTCATTTCTATGAGGAGGGCCTTACTCAATCTCGCCTATGTCGACCTTACAGTGAGAGCTGGGGTTCGTAGCGAACACCACTGACAGGCGCTGGGAATAGTCCACCTTAAAAACCGCCATAACTTCGCAGTGGTATTTGCAAATGAAAGCCGAGGCGCGAGTGCTCTAATTTGAAATCGAGTCATCTACCCAGTAATTTTCCTCTGATCTCGCATCATAACTACATAGCTACATACGAAATCAAAATCACACGCAAAAAAAAAGAGGTTTGCTTGCTCACACAAACAGTCGTCTCTCCACCGTAACTATCCGGTGGCTAATTTCTATACTTTTGTTTGTCAAAGCATATCTTTCTCATCCGTGCACAGCAGCTTCATGGACAATGTGGTTGAGTTTTACTGGATCCAGGACAGTCATCTCCTGTGTCAAGTGGGATGAGTATCCAAGCCAACCACAATCTACGAGGGACATCAGCCCAGGTAATTTACCACTGCGCCATCTAGTCTAGAACGTAGTAGTAACGTAACATTCACTCCCACATAGCTATGGAGCACAGAAAGCCCCTCAACTTGTCACGGTTTCCCTCGCGCCCGCCCCAGAGGACTACCTCCCAGATTCTTGCTACGATTTTTCCTCAGACGGATATCCCTATTCTCGTGGGCGTACATTTGCAGGCCAGCTAAGGCCAGAAAATAATTATACGAGAGGCTTGATTATTGGAGCTAGGATGCACTAGGTTGTACTTGTAACCTTCATGACGCCTTGTTCGATTTTTATCTCGTCGGGAATCACGAGCTATTGGCTCGTGGGCCAACTTTCTCGGTCTTGCAAAATTTGGCTGCACATGGCTCTGGGCGAATATTTTACTCCTCAGTTCGTATAGGGCGCCACGGACAGTTATTTAGTCTTGGTCTCGTGACAGAATCGTTGACTGTTGCAAGTTGATTCGAGGCCTTGCCATCTTTAAATAGTATTGGCCCGGATCAACCAGCGTCGCCGCACAGGAGTATTCAAGGCAGAGTTTAACTTGGATAAGTTATTTTTTGCATCAGATTTTAATTACGTATATAGCTATCTAGCTATGACATGGAGCTTGGATATGTAGAAAGCCTCGTTATTGAAGTGCATGAGATGCGGCGACCCATGCTTGGCCTAGTCGCAAACGTGTCGAATTGAAGTTCCAGCCACCGAAATCATGGAACGTCCGTACGCCTAGCGCCACGCTCATTGACAAAGTCCGGGCATTAACCAACGACACCAGGAGTAAGCATGAGCGGGATACGGCAGAGAGAGAGACATTGGAACAAATGTAGTGGTAACCAGCGGTAAAGGTGGCGCGAATAGAAACTCAGGATCGATCGCCATCATATGAAGGGTACCGAACAGGAATGAGTAGTAGGTACAAATAGAGCACGGTTCAGTAGTCTAGAAAGGGGAGGAAAAACGACAAGTCTTCAGAGCTTTCCATCGCGCATCTAGTATCGCCGACAGTGAAGCACAGGACAATCGTAAACCACCAATCTTAACCATAAACTGTTTCACTGATATAACCTATCATCCGAGACCCCTACGAAATTTTGCTAGCTAAGAACCTCAGAACGGCCAGCTCAACCTCACGGCTTTACAAGATGCTCCTGCAAGTAGAGCTGTCACCGAAGCTTTGGGACCAATGAAAATACTTGCGTCACCCGGTGAGTTATAGAAACCTTCGAACGCCCATGTGTCACATTCTCTGCATTGAATCACGTACAACGATGTAGAGCGCTGAGTCTGTTTTATGACGTATTGCTGTCGTAGGTTTGATACCCTGCCTTTCTCAGCGGACATGCATATGTTGTGCGCCCGAACTAATAGACGTTGAACCCTGGATTGCCTCCATCCCGTATATAAGCATTTTACTCTCATCAGACTTCGCGGTAAATCCATCGGGTCTTGGAGAATAACATTATATAGATTTACAGTAAAACATTTGCCGAATTTATAAACCTTGTTCATTTTGCTCGTCACTCCAGCTGCCGGTCAATTGAACCCACTATAGAAGTACATCATTTCTTCTCTTCGTGACCCTCTTCTTACTGCAGTTATGGCTAAGCAGTACAAATAACTTCGATAAATCCACGTATGAATTTCTCATTTAGCGGATCTCATCACTTATCATGCGAGTTGTTATCAAAGTGAAGGATCGTAATCTTAACCCATCTGATCTCTGAGCTTTACAAAATTCAGCAACCTAAGAGAATCTGATGGTCCAAAATTGCCCTTTGATTTTATGACGATTCCAGTTTTTGGTTTTCAAGTTCACGAACTTCATGCTTACAATATACAGGTACATCGGGTCGCTAGCGCTCATCTTTCATCTTAAGGAGCTTGTAGTGCCGGAGTTTCCACACATTTGAAGTCGCACCTGTGCCTTAATATGTCGAGATCTCGACGTGAAATATACAAGAGTCGAAGCTAGTTGGAAATTTTGCTTGCTGATACCACATGCGGTGGCATATAGCAGTTGAATAACTGAATTGTATAACGCTTTCATGCCCATTTCCCCAACATTGCCATTAGCCCTGCTCCCAGACACATGTTGAGAAAGGCAAATAGAACCGTGGTCATTGGAGCGGTACGCATGGTAGGATTAAACATAAATTCGTGAGCCATAAGTTCTACCAGGCCCGTGTAAATGAGGATTCCTGCACTTATGGAATCGAAAATACCATTGACCATCAACATCGACTGGCTATCTGGTGAGAAAGATTCGTGAATACCCAGCCCAAGAGCAATTGATGCAGGCGTTGTAAGACTAAACGCCAAGGCTAGGACCCAGAAAATCCAAGTTTTTTTGGGTTGCGATGCGATATCTATCAGTCGAGTTCCTAGACCAAGACCTTCAAAGGTTTGATGAAAAGTTAAGACGACATAGAGGATATTGAAATCCTTGTTAGGCGTGACAGCTAGGGTGAGCCCTATAAAGATGGAATGGAAAAGTATACCAAATTCAAGAATGAATATAGCCGTGAGTTGAACCGCAAGATTGTCATCATAAGCGATCTCGTGGTTTACAGAGGTAGGTGAGACTAAGACATCATTTTCTGTGCCGGCCATGGCGTCATCAAATGTGGGGTCCCGCAACCCCTGTTCTTCAACACCATTAGCTGGACGCGTTTCTAGTGTAGTTAGTCAGAAAACCGTTACTCCAGTATATGTTAAAAATGCTTACGATGACTGGATGGAAGGGTACACGCGTTATTCGAGCTTTTCCCAACTTTAAATTGTGATTTGATAAAGAGGTTAACTGTCTCCAAATCTTGGCTTTCGTGTCTTAATGTCTCAAATCGAGTAGCCATAAGTTCAACGAAAAACATGAAAAAGATGGACATGAGGGCTATACCTTCTGCCCAGCTGTATTCAGTAATTGGACCAGACAAGCACGGTGAGTTAAGTGCTTCTGTTGCAGGGGCTAAAAGCTGTTGGTTATTAGCAAGACGTGTCAAAATATGGCAAGGGTGGTTTAAAAACATGTCAACTGACATGAATGAAAGCTGTTGCAATGATGACGCCGGAACCAAAATATTTCATAATGGTAAGGATCCAGTCAGGGACTCTCAATCGCTTTGATTTGACTGCAGCAAAGGGCAATAAAACACCTGGATCCATTTAGTTTCTTTGGGTCTTTATCTTGCTTTGTTTAGGAGTCGATTACCTATCAGCGAACCAGCAAAGATGACGAAAATAGAGGACACTCGAATCCCAAAGTTTGAGTGGTCGTAGCCATTTCCTTGATTACATTCGGTAGAATCCATACTGAAAGAAGTTTTTTGGAGTCACACTTGCTGTGAAATAACACAGGCTTGCTTTCTCACTCCGAGCCGTCGTTTAGTCGATCGATTCCTTTCGTAGCCGGCAAGTATTTTCTGGAATGTGGACTGAGGTTCCGGACAGTCTATTTCGAAGAAGAATTCATTGGTCTGACCTATACAGACATGACTAGGAGAGATATAAAAGGGGTATGCTACTTAGTATATGAGCGCAGGAAAGAGCGGACATCTAGCTGGAGTGTCGCCAGTTCCCTGGAATCGGCACTAAAATATGATGTGAAAACTCAACAATGGGTCCTACATGTACCAGGTAGGTACCTTGATGGGTTGTATGGTTGGCGCGAGGTGAAGGAGCTTGTTTAGTAGAGGCAAGGTCATGATAGTCCGGGGGGAGTCGATGGATGAGTATCATCACCTCGGAGTTACATGCAGGTGAATGTGGCTCTGATAAGCTCGAATATTTAGAACTTTTATTCTCCATCTATTTCGTCCATTTGAGCCGGCCCCATAGGTCTACAAGAGCAACAATTTTGGTAGCGTTAGCTTCAAGCATCTAATAGGCCTACATGGGTCCTCATAAATCTTGTTCCATGACGGACCCGCAAAGCCTGGGAAAGATTGCTGAGATTGGAACATTGAAATAGGACATGATATTCAGGTGAATAAACGCCGCAGAAAAATAGGAAGTCTTTTGTCAACTTGAAAGCGATGACGACATTGCTAAGCAAGAAAGCTCGCTCGTTCAGCAGCCTGAGTCATCTATCTTGACGTTAGTAGAACTTGCACATCAGCACCAGGGGTCCCGTTGCTATTGTACGCGTCCACACATTCCCCCCATTCTCACCAACGCTCTTAACACAATCGCAATTTCTATTCGTTCCATGCGCCAAATGTATCTCGGCTGATAGTTCGGCATCGTTGGCAAACTATAAGTGTCTTTTTTTCGGCGAGCTCCTACAGCACGAGCTGGCCGTGGAAAAGATTTAAATATTGGTTTGTATTAGTGTTTACTTGCTACAGAGTTCTACCCTTCCTTTTCCGGGCAAAGTATTTGTCAGACAGAAAATCGGATAAAATAATCATTGTTCATACACTTTGACTAGTCTACCTATAAACTATTGGTATAAACGGGGTGGAGTGATACCAGCTCAATAATCCGACAAATCCTGGACTTATATTTTCAGCCTATTTAAGACGTTCTAGCCAGAGCGGAGAATAAAGGCTAAAACCCTGTTGGTGGAGTCCTGCGAACTTGGTGAAGTATTGCTTCGCAACCGAGGTTCGGTCATATCAGACGACAAAATGTAGTTTTGAAGGCCATGGACGTGATATTGACCACGAAAAGCGCCGGTGGGGTATCTCAGCAGAAAATTCAATCCTGACGAGATTTAACACCAGCAAAGATTGACGAAGTCGAGCATTTCCACCCCATGTACAAACAACAGATACGCTCAAATATGTGTGGAGTTGCTAAAAACATCCGTGGTTGTCACGGTCTTAAAATCCCCTGGAAGCTCTCTGTAGCCCAAAAAGTCTAACCATCCAAAGAAGCTCTCAAAAAACCGGAAAATACGCAAGACAACGTCCAACGTACCGCTTGCTCTTAAGGCATGGTCGAAAACCCAGATAGAAGTCAGTCAAAATTCGGCCTGCAAAAATTCGACTCCTACGAAATAGGCGCCTCAAATCGCCGGCACGTTAGCAGGGTCACCCAAAGAAGGCCGTGGCATCGATGCTCTGGCCCTTGGCTCTTATTCGCATATTTGTACTTGACAAATAGACGGACAGTGGCGGAAGGGCTAGAACGGGGGTCGGGACGTCAATGAAGTTTCTGGCATGGAGGGACTAGTGAATAGAAAAAGGAGATACCATAATGTGAGAATGCAAGGGAAGTAAAATGAACGATGGCTTCATGGGCTGCTTGATGGGAGCTCTCATGAGTAAAACTAAGTCTTGATGAGAGTAGGAGGTGCTTGGAATAGACAAAACTCAACTGGAAGAATTTAGGTAATGACGGGAAGGTGTCAAGAACTCGGGTACGTGGTAGCCGAGCCTGAGGAGATACTTGCGCTTCAGCATGTCAAAACCGAGTTCTCTGTATGGTTTTACCTGACAAGATTTAGCATGCAGGTAGAGCCTGGGCTACAAATTTTTTCATGTCCTTAAAAGTAGTCAAGTTTTGACAGCCCTGGCTACTCGTGCTCAGGATGTCTTTTACATAACATCATAATATTCAAACGAAAGATTACAATCAACCCGGGCAGAAATGTGCCCGAATTCCTGCAGTAGGGAGCTTAATGGTCTAGTCTATCCCCAGAAGTGACGAGAAAAGAACACAGTATATGATGCCTGGTACGAAAATTTGTTTTTTTCCATTTCCTGCTGACTTGCGATCGAGTGGCTCACCAACTAACTTCTAATTCAAGCTCGGAACCCCTGGTAAGGTCACGTGATGTCAGCACTTGCACCCTACCGCAGTGGGTTGACCACATACGACTCTTTAGAATTCAAGATGAGGCTCAGATGCTTAAGAAAACCAACGAAGAGGTCTTGGATCTTGGGGATCGGCCCTGAAGGATTTGATCAGCGGCCTTGAGGAACCAGTACGCCTTGAATGATGATCATGCACAGGGTCTAGACCCTTACACAGCTGAGTAATGTTGGCCTCGTAGTTAGATCCAGATGTATTCCATTTTCTACTTCATATCACCGGGCTGCATTCATTTTTATCTTCGTAATGGGAGGACAAGCTGTGCAGCTAGAGTTTAAACAGTACGTGAATTCGATCATATCTTACTGCGAGTAGATGAACGTGATGTGGAGACTAATGGTAATCTTGCAGGCACTTGACCAGCCTACAATGGAAGAAAAATTTCAATATATTTCAGCAAATCAGGTTACACTGCGGTTTGATTGTCCTCGTTTACTTACGAAAAACGATATATTGATTACGATTGTATGCTAGACCTGGCGGCGTAGTTTATCACAGTTGGAGAATGTGGTCTGGAATGCAGTAGTGGTTCGTTTGAGATGCGACTGCGACAGGATAATTGAGGCTTGTGTGGAAGTTTGGCACTACTATGGGTTTTTTGATATGTTTTTTTCACTTACGTGCTAGGTACTTGTCAACCATCGCACTCCTACTGAAGTGGTGTTCTCTGGTATGGTTTGAGTAGCCTGGGCACCTAAGACCATATTTTGCGCGGAAAAAAGTTGAAAGATGGAGGCATGTCGGGATAACTTTGTGTTTTTGAGACGTTCCTCTGGGTGGGTACTCACGGATGAGGGATGACTTGGGGTGAGGAAATAGCCGGCATAACTTCGCAGTAGTACTTGCAAATGAAATCCGAGGCATGAGTGCTCTTTATATTGAGTCATCTATGATATGATTCTCTGATATCATGTCATAGCTAGATAGCTGCGTGCGCAATTCAAATCTGATGTAAAAAAAAAACACCTACTGAAGCTTAAGCATGAATGGGCCCGGGCTGGATCAGGGTAACTACCGTGAAGTAAAGATACGTCTCGTCCCACCGAGATGATTGAACCACCTTAGATTTCACCCATGTGTTGAGTCATACCAAGCCTGACCGTCCAGAAACTCTCTGTATACACGCCGTAGCGCAAATTCCTTCTCAGCCTCGACCAACATGCGCCCAAGCCCTTGACGTCCTCATTGGCTCCGAAATATATTTATGAAATCCCAGATCTCACTGTTGCTCTGGTCTGCCAGCTCCATATTGGACCGTCGGGTTGTCGTCGTTATTGAAGTTTTGTGTAATCCCCTCGGTGTCTACTCCCTTTTTCCCTCCTTTGTTGGCGTCCCGTTACCATCATGACTTCCCCCATGAGGGCGTGTTCAGGCAGGTGATGAATTTCTGCTCGACTTTTTTGCGGTTGTGAGAGCTCTGTCGACCGATTCTCCGACCAGAATACCGAGTACAACTCCTTCAAGCCGAAAATCCATCGAATAAAATACATCCCACCCTTTTTCGTGACTGAATCTCGGCGCGAAGGGATTTCCTAACTCGCAGGTCCGTGGGGCACTCGGCGTCCAGGTGTTCAGTCTTGAGTTCGGTGTTACAGTTCTATGCCCGTAAGCGCCTCGTTTACCGGATTCCCGGCCCCCATCACGTGCCTTGTAATGACGGCGTTATATCACAACCGCATCCGCTCCTCGTGGTTTGTGATGATGACTTATTCATGGATGGTTGAAGGGGCCATGCGGCTGATACAGATTGCGAGTGAAATTTTGGAATAGCAGCAGACGCACCATTTGAGGCCTTGGTTACTATGGATACTACGATATGATTACGGACAGAAAAATGGCGCTATCGTTGAACACACACCCATAGACATCCATTGACTTCGTGTCTTGCCCTCATTGTATTCTGACATACTTGCTCACAACTTTATCCCCTGCGGAAATCATATCAATCACGAAATGAAATGATCATTCCCACCTCACTTGGCGCCACTCCGAGTCTGATACACGGCCGTGGAACAACGCACTACCAATCCATCTTCAGCCCAGAGTAGTTTGGAGGCCTATAATTTTAAGGTCCTCAAAAGCTCCAGTAGTCCGAGAGGCAAACAGTGGCCTACTTTCCAGCATAACCTTTGGTTTTCTGGCGTTTTAACAACCTCTGCAATATTGTCATAGCTAGATAGCTGAATACAATATGATTCAAAAAAAAAACCTCTACAATATCTTCAGGCCCCGGTGCAGGAAGCGGTTGAGGGTGTTTGTGGAGGTAAATGTGCTGGCTTATAGCTTGATTGTGTTACACGTCCGACTAGTGATTAAAAGATTATATCCCCTCCACACAGGACTCCAGAGTTCATTGCTGTTGAGCCATGAGGCAGCCACACTCCCCAAACCCAAGAAGAAAAATTGAAGTGCCTGCTGTTGCGTGTAGCTCCAATGCTTTCAGGGTTGGCTGGGTAGGCTGAAGGCTCTGGATAGTTCAGATAGGGCTTTTATCCAGCATATTAGCACAGTGTTGAGCGGAATGCACAGGAGTAGTTTGATGGCAAACTCTCAATCAGAGACATGGGTGGATGGACCGTGTGAGTACGTTGCTAGACACATGAGTGAAATTACAGGTAGAGCAAAGTGGAGATGACATTTTGCATGCGTTAGCCCGTATACCATTCCCATGTAACAAAACTATCGCCTCTAATCTGTCGAGGAGACTGAGCGTGGCAAGCGTCCAGTCTGGGCAGTTTCCAGCAAAGCGAGACGGTCACTTGCGGTCTGGAATTTGGAGAGGCTCAGCCATCCATTCTATTCTACCATCTGTCTCCCTGATTGCGGCGGCGGTTGAGGGCCCGTTGTGGACGGCGCCAAAGTCGATTTGGCCAGCGTGTCGGCTTCTCCATTTCCCGAGCCAGCCGCTGGGATAAGGGTCCAGCTGATCGCTTCGCCACCAAGTCGTCAAGGTCGAGTGATCTTCTACGGCGTGTGCAGGCGGCTGCTCGGCTAGCCAGGTAAATGCAGACTAGTCACTCCCCTCTCACCATTGATGACAGCTGCAAGACTTTCATAGCCCCTCGAACATCTACTCTGGCACTTCGATCAGACCCGCCTTTGGCCAGTCTCCCCTGCCATACAGAATACTCTCCAGCTCACTGCTCAGGCTGCGACCGAGATCCATCAAGGTAGCGCACGAACTGTCTCAGCAGGTTACTCTTCCTGACTTGCCTTCTTTTTCCCCATTACATGCAATGCACGTCGGAGTGCCGGGGGCAATGCATAGCTTTCCAGAATCTTCAGACATCGGACCTCATGCACGGCCATCCATTGACGTGTCTGGGCTTTCTCATCAGATTTCAATGGCGTATCCAGCGATCTAGCCATGCCGCATCATCAGGCATACATGTACGTTTTGAATAACTCGTTGGACGATAGAGACACTTGAATTTTGGATCTCATTCGCAAATGTCACCATGAGAGTGTTGGCTCAGCTAGCTCGCGTAGGCTTGATGCGATGATCGCCAAACGTGACTACATTACGGGTTAGACTTATAGAGAAGTCTGATCATCCGGCTACTTAAAAAGCTGGGTAAGAGTAAGACCAGCAGCCAGTTTGATCTCATTCGCAACAATTAAGAGTGCACCAATTGACCTCAATCTCCTCGCCTCGTCCGCGCTTGCCGTCCATTCTTACTTCTATCCGATTACAGTCGAGGACGTTTGCGGTAACGATGAGATATACTTGCTTACGCAGGCAGTCTACTTTCTCTAAGAGTACCCACCAGAGAGACGTTTCAAATATTTGGACATACAAGCAAGCTATTATTACTTTACACACAGGCACCGCGAAGAAGATGCTCGCATACTGCTGACCCGACCCAAACCAACCATCTCCTGTCTCAACTGAAATAGGTGTCCAAGCTATCCAAATTACGGTAGTGAATAGCTAACGTAATATACCACTGCACTATCCAACCATGCCAGTGTTTATAGCGTCGCCTGCACTCGTGCAATACTCTTCAATGTGAGCGCCCTCTTCCCCATCCAAGGAATGTGAATCCTCTCGAGAATGTATTCGTCGTCATCAGCCTGTACGTCTGTATCGACTTCTCTCATCAACACCTCATATACACGTCTGCCAGGATTTGCTATTGATAGAAATTATGTAGGTGTGGGCTATCACGAACCAGGCATAAAATCAGAGAACATTTGTGTAGATGGTAGTTTACATCTTTTACTAGTGAGCTATCTAAGTGATCAGTCAGGTATTTATACATTCCTTCTCACCCTCTCCTCAGCCCTCATTCTCAAGGGTATCACTTCTCGTAAAGTCCAATCTTTCAAACATCTTCTCCTCTTGTCACTAGAAGATCATGCTACTTTTCCAAACAGTCCAAATAGCCTCTAGCAGGGTTTCCACGGCCAGAAACTCCCCGCTGCTTCACAGACAACTCCACAACTCCGGCCTTGTCTCGATCCTTCAACTCAGTCGACACGCCAAGTACGCAGACCCTAGAATCTACTGAAATATCAACGTCGAGTATGCTTGGAAAGCGGGTTGGATGGTGAAGTGGTACACCATTTGGGCCGTTCTCCCAGTTAGATTCTGGGTCGCTTGAACACCTGCCCCATTTGAGACAGAAGAAAGCTGGTCGAATCCTGTAAAACCCACACACCACACTCTCTCGTGGTGATATTGTTCTTGTGGGATGATGAAAGCACACTCGGATAGCCACAGGGTTTTCACGCTTTTCCCTGTGGTGGGTATGTACGGAAGAGGTTATACGCCGTAAGGGTTAATCTCGAGTGGTATCTGCAAATGAAATCTGAGTGTGAGTGTTCCAAATTTCAGATTGAATCGTCCTACTTAAAGTATATATCTCCCGATAAAAACCTGCATGGGCCACATGGCGCCAAATCAGGATAATGAATAAATTATATATTTATGCTCAGAAAGCGAACACTTTCTGCGCTAACCAGTACCGACTGACATTCCTCCGCTCAACAAGCGCTACTCTGCGTGCATCTTGAGGCCAACTAAGGCCGTAGAATCAATCAATGAGAGGTGTGGTCATTGAAATGAGGATTAACTAGGTTGTACCTATCAACTTGATAAGTCTTTGGTGAGATTAAATCTCGTTAGGTGGGAGAGATTGATTTGGTGGAGGGTCTCTGGTCATCGCCTTGCGGGCCAACTTCTATCGTCTTGAAAAATTTAACGAAAGGTGGCTCGTAGCAGACACTGCAGATACATAGACTTTTCCTCATAATCGCCAGCTTTCTAGAATGATATCAACCTACTCAATGACTGTAGTGATTGGCTACTTTTTCAGCTCAAGCCTGCAGTTGAGTCTAGCATGAAGGATATTTGAGGCAAGACTGCACGGGGAGGGATGTACGAAGCTGGATAAAATCGTACTGCGATGTGAGAGGTTGATGCGACGTTGGAACAAAGTAGCCCTATTTCATGTGGCTAAATGGCAGGAATGAGACCTGAAGGTATCGGTAAGGACAGATTCTTCATCTTCCGACTGTGCCGTTGTAACGGCTCAGTATACTCTACATATCTGGCATTGCCCTGAAGAATTACATCTCTCTCCCAAAACGACGTAGACGTTGGTCTCGCCATGCGCATGAGTCCTCAACCTCTTTCCAACCGCCGACAAACCCGCTGCTTCAATTGCAAACGGGAGCCTGCTCCATTACTTACCGCCCATCTCCTACCACCAAATCACGACGCTACTCATATCCGCAGGCAGGACATTAAGTCGAGACCAAAAACCCTAGGTCTTGGCTTGCGGGGGACTCGTGCTCCCATGAAACTAGCAGGTTGAGAAAGGGAGTGCAACCAGTGCGTTGGAATTGTGGCCTTGTCCTATTGACGCGCTTTCGGCAATTGAACCATTGTGGGCGCCAAGATCAAGCTTTCGGCTAATTAGCCGCCAGCGCTTCTAAATTTGAATTGGATTTCACTAGGCCCGATTTGGCGCCATTTGGGCCGATGCAGCAGGCTGCGAGCTCTGATATCTATATGGTGATAAGGGCCCCCTCAACCTTTCAAAACGTCTGCCTTTTGTTGTTGGATTACCTTCCCTAAGTGCACCAACACTGTTTTTTCCAGTGCGGATAGCGTCTACTTCCTCGCTACCGGCTAGGGATCAAATCTCCCCTCATCGTGGCTTCGCCTTCAAGCGTCAGTCAAAACGGCTCCAATCGTTCTTCCTTTTGTATCCACTCTGCAATTCCAGCTGCATGTTTCGGGTTATTCAACTTCACTTTGAATGGCCGAGGCTCTGCCTTTCTCACTGCATCTCCCCTTGGCCGAGTTGGCGCAGGCCATGACCATGCGCCTGACATTTTGGGACGGATATCCACGTCAGCATCGTGGGCTGCCTACTCCGGGAACATGTCTTCTGTACAGATAAGAGTTGAAGCCAATGTGCTCGCTTCCTATCGGCATGGCTTGTATTGTCGATGAGTCAACGGCACTCCCTAGCGCCCTGCGCGGTACAGAAGAAGTTGGGCTCGGCAACCACACAGCAATCACGCGTTGTCAACACTCTTCTGGCATTTCGGCAAGACCTTTGGGAGGGAGGTTAGAAAGGCAGAGCCTGAATTTCCCGAGGTACACACAAGTCTGCAGTACCCTGCTGGCCGGCCTCTTTGAACGCTTCAGAAGGATCACTATGTCTTCGGAATTAGTCCTGATATCGCTATTAGAAGAGCCCCGTACCCAGTGGTTTTTGCGATTTTTTCCGGCTGCCAAATACCCGCAGTTGGCCACAGTTTTGCTGGCCGGAGAGGGGAGTTAATGAAGGGAAAAGGGCACTTCTAAGTATATGATTCAATAAGGACTTGCGAGGGGTGGTACTGTCTGAGGGAGCTGTATGGAGGGCATAGGAAGGGATATATTAGTAGCCAGCTATCTTTGGCCAGTAGGCAGAGAGGACCTGCATGTCCGAGACAGTCATAGACCTAACACGACAACAAATGCACTAAACTGTTTTCAACTTCGCCGCTTCAATGGAGTGTGCGTGTGGGGAGGAGACATCGCCTCTCCACTTCATTCGCTGTCAACTGCACGCACGCCAGACGCCTCGACTTCGGGGGACAATGTCAAATCACGACTTGGCCCCTAAGCTTCTCGGGCCTAAGTGCCTCGAACACTCTACAAAATTTGCGCAGGAAACCGGCTGCTTCGGGCACCCACCTGCGAGTCCGTCTCTGGCTCTCAGCGTAGACGGCAGTTATTAGATCATAGCACGAAGCATGACAGGCAGCAAAATGACACCTCCCGTCTCATTTTCCAGGCACAAATAGGAGGATGGGGTTTGGAATTTTGGCTGTGGGAGTCTGCGGGAGCATTTATTTTCTTTCTTACAGCTAGCTACTGCTTGTGTAGCGGGTCACGCGGTGAGACCGAGTCGGGCATGTGGGACGCATGATCTGGGCCGTGTGCACGGGTCCTTGACTCCTAGGAGATGTAGAGCATAGCTTAGAACCTAAAAATTAAAAAAACCCCACAAAACTGTACGAGGTGTTGGAGGATCCCAATTCGCTGGAAATTCATCGGCTCTAGCAATACCATAAGACGAGCCAACCAAGACCGCGACTAAACAGCGGAATTAAAGTCGACAGAGGCAGGCTTGCGGCACAACATCACGAGGTCTTGCCAACGCCGACCCGCGCTGGGTCAAGGGCAGGACATGCGGACGCGGGGAAAAATTATCATGCTGACTATAGATATGAGAGAGAACCACGATCATGGGGTTAGATTCTTCTGGTTTCGAAAGAGCGGCTGGGCTAAATTTCGGGAGTCTTTCAAGTAGTGGGGCAAGTATAGAGAGAGAGAGACATGATTAAACACAATATATTATTACATTTCCCACCTTACCGCCTCCCTTGAGACTCTCTGCAATCTTCCTGCTCCCGCACATCGAGTGTAGGGGACAGCGGGGTTTCTAGAGAGGCGTGATCCAGCTTAACGGTCTTTGTTTGCCTCGGCCTTCGCGTGCAGCCTAGATAATCGTAGACCCTCTCGGCTGCTCAATCCAAGTTATGCTAGCTAGGTAGGTTTGGGAGAGCGTACGGTATCGAGTGCCGACGATGTGAGAATTTCATCTAGCATCAAGACGAGTACTGCAGCTCGAGACCAATGGTTTGGAAAGGCTGGTCTCGCTGGCGCATGTCGATGGAAGAGCCGAGGGTGAAGAGCAATTCTTTGACCCGACCTTCCCACAGGATTCCAATCCGCCAATTCTGATCCACACGCGCCTTCAGCACGCCCGCAACCTCGCTGGCCGTCGGACTCTGGGTGGGTGGGGGGTCCAGCCTCCATTCAAGTTTGGCCTCGGTACTGCGTGCGGCGGAGACTGGCAGCGGCCGCCTCATCTTCCAGATCTCGCAGCCGAGCATGAGCTCGCTCTCGTAGCTGTAGAAGTTAAAGTCGAAGCGTGAACACAGACTCACGTCCCGGCCGGCCTTGACGGCGTGCGTCATGCTCACATTTCCCATGAGCGGATTCAGCGTCAACGTGGCCGTCAAGGGAATTCCGGGGTGCGCTGGCAGCGTGGTGAAGCGTGTGCCGAGGCTCATACCACCCGACTTGTTGAGGCTACCATAGTATATTTCGGCCCCAAGGCTAAAGAGGCCCGAGAGACGCTCGTCCACGCGCAGAGCGGCGCTAGTCGTGGTGCAAGGGTCGGGCCCGAAGTTGTAGAGGCCACGCACGCCAACCAGTCCGCCGTCGGTGGAGTAAAGCGCATCAGTCGCATACTTACCCGCATCGTACTGATGAACGGCAAGCAGCGTGCCACCATGCTTCAGTCGGGAATCACTCACGCCACAAAGTTTGACCTGTTGCGTCGAGCTGAGACGCCGCACGTAGAGGGCTTCGAGCGAGCTTTGCGGCAAGTAGAATCGCCCATAGAGTAAGACGGGCTGCCGCCCCATGTTGACGGGATCCTCGGCCTGCCTCCCATCTAGTGGGCGTAGCTCTTGGACTTGGTGGTAGCCATGGATAACCTGCCGAAGATGAATTGCTGCCGACCGGCTTGGCGGGAAGAGGGCCTGTGATGTGTAAAGATATGAGAGCGAGCCATCCACGAATCCAAGCGACCCTAATTTGTACGAGGTGGCCAGCTTCGGCGACGAAAGAGAAGAGAGATGCACGCGCAGGCCGCGCGGCGTTTCGAATTCGAGGAGGGCTAGAAAGAAGATTGGTCAACAGAGGTGCAAAGGCGTCACGAATGAAATTCTGCTAACCCCGGGCTGTCGACGTCAACTGGGAATACGAGTTGTCCTGATTCCACTGAGTGGCATGGTACCAAGCGTGTTGAATATACTCCATAAACTCCAACATGATGCGCACCCGATTCTTCGACGGCTGTGTCGTCACAACCGGATCTAATCTCGTCCAGAGAAGCGCGGCACCGACCGCGCTAGCCCAAACGCCCACTATCCGTGTCTTATCGGCACACGCCCAAGAGATAAGGAAAAAAAACATCCGAGACGTCTTGTTGCAGACCCTATATCAACCCAATCGAGCCCAGTTCCCTCATTCTTGTGCCCTAACGCCCATCATATCGAATTTCTCTATCCCACCATGCCCAAAAGCAAGCGTGCCAAAGTTGTGAATCTTTCCAAAGTCGGAAAGAAGGGCAAAGAGCTATCCCAAAAGCTTTTCCGAAATGTACGCGAATGCCTGGATCAGTACGCTTACTGCTGGGCCTACAGTGTCGAAGCCATGCGAAATACTTACCTAAAGGATGTACGCAATGAACTCTCTGATAGCCGGTAAATCATGTCTCCTAGCTTTCTTTTAGATGCGCTAACATTTAGGGGGTGTTCAGATTATTTTTTGGCAAGACAAAAGTTATGGCTAAGGCTCTAGGCCTCACGCCTGAAGAAGCATATCAGCGCAATACTGAAAAGCTGGCCGTGCACCTAAATGGAGACATGGGACTTTTGTTCACAAACCGAGAGCCCCAATCTATCATTGATTACTTTGAGAACCTCGCAAAAACCGATTTTGCTCGTGCGGGAACAGAAGCAACAAGAGATTTCTCCATACCAGCTGGAATTGTCATGAGTACAGGAGGGCAGATTGCGGCAGAGGACGATACACCATTGGCCCATAGTCTAGAGCCTGAGCTGAGAAAATTGGGCATGCCGACCAGCTTAGAGAAAGGAAAGATAATACTGCAGAACGATTACACTGTCTGCAGGGAGCATGATACGTTGGACAGTCGGCAGACCAGACTGATGAAGTTATTTAACCTTGCAACGGCCGACTTTAGGGTTTCTTTGAAAGCTCACTGGAAGTCGTCTACCTCAGAAGTAACAGTAATGGATGCAATGAATGATTAAGTGACTTTTTGAGCTTGTTTTATGTTGTGCTCCGTCCTGTCCTACAGACAGACAGGAGAACTTGGCGTTGCGTGTTACTATTTAATTGCAGGAAAGGAATATAATTGGAAAACTTTACAATAACCACTTAGTCCTTACCACCCTTATCATACCACCTGCTCTGTCACAGTAAGTTCCGTGGAGCAATGCATTGAAGTCAGATGGTAGACAGTATTAAGCCTTACCTCTGACCTACCTCCAAGTTATACATCAGATAATAAAACTACAACTTTAAGATTTTCGTATGTTTCCCGTAGACCGATCCCATACTTAGTACTTTAAAATACAGTTTGAATTAGCGGCGTCGAAAATGCGCAAACATCAGGTCGTTGGAGTGAATAACAATATCAGTTTTGTGTTCGTGAACCCAGCCGTCACGAGGGTGAAGTCTCTCGAGTGTAATTTAGTCAACAGCTTACCCTTCATTAAGGATTATACTTTCTGTCCAAAACCATCTCGTACAACACATTTGACCTAGTCTAGTGGAAAGCTAGTATCTTCGTAGCTTTCTTGGATCATCACCGTTGCTTTCGTAGGGTCGCTTTCGGATGTCATCGTCGCGTGTGCGATAACTACTAGAGCTACTGTCTCTGTCTCGGTATCCTCCGTCTCTATATGGTGCGCTGCGTGAAATATCTCGTGGACCATCGCGTGGGCCATCGCGAGGACGGACCGGTTCCATGTTAGATCCGCTACCCGTTCGATGGGATCCTTCACCTTGTGACCGGCTGTTTCCTCGGAATCCTCCGGACCTATCTTCGTAACGAGGTCGATCATGTCCACCCGAAGGTCCACTGCGGTCAGGTCCTCCGGGACCACTCCCACCACCACGACTACTAAAGCCGCTGCGACCACCTGGTCCCGTAGGAGCAATAGGCGGTGCTCCGCTGTAGCTAGTTGAGACACCAACTCTCGAAGACTCATTACCAGCCTGGTAGCCAATTCCACCTCTTCCACCTCGGAAACCACCACGGTCTTGGAAACCGCCCCTACCGCCAAAACTACCTCTTCCACGGCCTCCGTCGAAACCGCCTCTGAAACCACCTCTAAATCCTCCGGGTCCGGGAGCAGCGAATCCTGGTAGCGGTCGGGGCGCAGCGATTTTGGTGTAGTTTCTCCCACCTAGTCCACCACCAAATCTTCGTGGTTTCCAGCCTTTGACAGTCATGCTGCGTTGAACATCAACTTTAATCCGACGACCTTTTATGGAGACACCATCGCAACCGTCTAGTGCAGCTAATCACATGCGCGGGGGAGGCGCTTCTGTTAGTTAAATTCCCATACTTAAATACCTTTTCTGCGGGGAAAGCAATGAAAGAGGCTCGGGCCAGGGAATAAATGATAGACCATATTTTCGGATAATAGTGTGATAAAGGTGGGGAAAGTATGGAAGTTTACCTCTCATGTCCTTCTCACGTTCGTATACTACAAACGCATATCCACGATGCTTCTTCTTTTTTTTGTGAGGTTTTTCGTCTTGGTGTGTGTCAACAACGATGCGGATCTAAAGCCATGTCAATTGGGGGCTCAAATGATGAGGAATTTTATCATTCATACTCTCTCAATTGGGCCAAAACGTCCAAACTCGCTTTCAAGATCTTTTTCCGTCGCTTCATAACTAAGTCGTGCAACGATCAGAGTCTTGAAAGCGTCACCCCTGATATTGGGATCTTCTTGAGGCTTGTCTGAGTAAATCAGTATATGAATCTAATTAAAAAACGTAGCTTTTCTAGCTCTAGCAAAGGGAACTGATTCATAGAGCTAGATCTTACATAGAGTTGACACTTCGGTTAGTAATCTCTTTTGCCTTTCTCGCTTTTCGAGCTTAAGTCGGTCATGTCTTTGAAGCCATGATTCAGTTGGTTGATAATCGTCATTATCTTTGTATTCCTGTAATTGAGGAAGAAACGATGCGACACCACTAATAGCCGCAGTGCGCCTATCTTCAGCCGGGTGGTCCGAAGGTGGAATATCTGGACTACTGTTAGCTAATTAACATTGAAGCCCTGAAGCAGGGTAATTTACATCTAACAGGCGGCCGGGGTGTGAAGAGGGCCAACAAGTTTGGAGGCAGTTGTGCTGTCATTATCTAAATTAACAGTGAAGGGAAGCTAGCATCAGAATAAAGAGAGGCAATGAATTCGGTGGCACTGATCCGTGCTAACCAAGATGGGCTGGGCAGAGATGTTTAGAACGAGGGTTGAATTGAGATGGTACGTTTTTGCAGGCCAACAGTCGCGTCGCAAAATCTAGGAATGAGGAAATCTGGTCACGTGATTTGAATTTTAGTGGAAATCTTATAACTGGACTCAACCTGGACTTTGCTAATATCTCTCCAAAGATTCGATCAGCCTAATTGGCATATTTACAGTCAGAGTCATGAAATAGCAGTATTCATAATTGTAAAACCATCAGTGACAAGTGGCCACAAATTTAAATTACCACTTTCAGAGGTGGAAGGAGCTTGGCAGCCGAACTGCATCCTCCAAGTCTGATAGCGCAATGGTATACAGCCTTACTTTTTATCGCAGTACCTATTAGCCTTTGTCCTGTAGTCTTGCTAGTATAACTACGTACATCCGATTGGTGATTCCTGGACACTTGGGACGAATTACAATTGCCCCTTTAATTAAGTATTGGCAGTATGAGACTAGATTAAAATAATTATCTAGGACATTCATGCGGATTTCAATAATTCAAAAAGATACTTGAATTATAGCCATTCTCTACAAAGGGTAGTGGGAAATAAGCACCTGTAAATAGAATCTATTGAGAGTCTAGAAGTGGGGGATACCTAGCGGTTCCTAGCTGCAGCTAATTGTCTTATTTCTGTTTTACTACTATGAAATTAATTTCATTTAACCCGATCAGACACCTTATGGGTCCATGCAGGTGACTATCTTCATTATTTACAAAGGAGGAAACCAATTTGGTGAAATCACCCTGATCTTGCCTGTTTGATTGCTATCAACATGTTTAGTTTGTCTTCAGAAAGTGCAGTTTGCACTATTGAGCCAGTGGGGATTCCGTCCTCACTCTATCCAGGGCGCTTTGTTTCATCACACATTGCTACCTTAGCTTCTCCTGTAAATCGTAACTATTTTATCAACCGTGTGATTCTAGCCACATCTTCTAGGCTGCTAATCATTGCTTCAAGAGACCTGTCTTAAGCTTGTCGGAGAAAGTCGCATCTTCCGTTTGCCCACTGCGGACACGCCAACACCATGTGTTTGACGCTTTGTGATGGATATCCATGTTGACAGCTAGTCTTTTCTGCTCTGGCAACTTTTCTTCTATGTAGGTAAGAGTTGTGTCCGATATGCTCGCTCCTTAGCTGAATGGCGACACTGCTTTAGGCCCTGGTTAGGTTACAGTGGACTTTTAGGGGCGTACCTCTGAAGTTCATATTTGTACTATCTGTTTGTTGATCGATAAATATTTTTGCAGCTTTCTAATGTTCTGGAACGGCTGGTGCTATTCGACTAAGGCGCGCCTTCATATTCTGATTTGTCCATGAATTCTCCCACTTCTGAAAACCCGTTATCTTTCCAGCTTCTTACAGCCTCCCCTTGTTCTTTTCCCTTCCACGAATTCTTGTCCATTCGGCGATACATTTGCTTCTATTCCAGGAATACGGAGCCTCTCTTCCGCTTGCGAGCAGCTTTATCCTGTTTCATGTCGATCGTATTGTCTGTTGAACTGGGATTTTAACTGATAGTCCGGCGCGCTGGACCTTCCTCTGTTTCAGGTATATTTCTATAGGGAGGACGGACAATTTATGCTCTAGCACTCCGCTGATATTAGAATTGTAGGCATCTGTAACAGCTGGTGAGCAAATTATTGTCCCGTGGCAAGTGATTGTAATCACGCGCTCTGATAATTCTATGGCAGTCTACGCTTTATTTCAGATCAGTTCAGTCGTAACTGGAAGATTTTAGTTAGTAGAAGTAAGGCTGGATATTACTCCTAGTGGAACATGCGAGAAGCTGATATCAGCCAAGAACGAATATTCTAGATATTAAGGAAATAATGACCCCTAAGTCATTGAGGTTGTAGAGCGTAATGATTCAAGCAACTACCGGAGTGAAACTAAGTACAGAATTTATAGTCAAGTGTGTATCAAAAACGTGGCCTACTTGATAGCCCCGATTATCCTTACTTCTAACAGATATTTTAATAATTGTATAAATAGTTGAAGTAATACTTCGAAGGTTAGTTACAGAGAAAGTCACAGACTTCCTTTGTACACCTGATAGCTCTAGCATGAATACTCAAACCGTGACAGCACATCAACAAGTTTTGAGCATTTTCTTGTAAATTTTCTGAGAGGTCACTCTTCCATTTCAGGTGTCTTTCCTGTTGGCCCGGCCTCGGCCCATATCGAGGAAACATACGTGAATTCCAGTCTCACAATCGATCTGTACAAAAATTAGACCTCATCAATGTCGCTCTCTAGTTTGATTGGGCCAGTCTACGAGTCGACTGCATGTTTTGCCATTTATCATCTTAGCTACAATCAATTTCGGCTGCTTTCACGGCAAATTTGGAAATCGTCTCCTGAAAGGAACAGGCCTGGACAGAAAAGAGCCCAATGTGCTAATGTTGTGATCAGGCCCATTTACAGATCACACGACTTGAAATGGCTAGTATGAAGCAAGTGTAACTGAAAGGACAAGCGATCCTGTGTCAATGGTGCGTCATCTGCACACAGCAATAACAACACCAGTATCTCAGCCATACATGATAACATGATAATATGACGCAGACATACCTAATGATATCGTTGTTGAATGGCTGAATGATTGTGAGTTATTGCTATTGATGGTATATTTTGTGTACCGTCTTTGTGTATAAAAACTCGCTGCTAGACCTCCATATATGATTAACCTTTTCCTCTCTTATTTCAATAGTCATTAGATTAATTTTTTTATTATAGTCCCTACTGAGTCTAAGACTATGGAGGACTTCGTGAATCTAACTAATGTTTCTAGTTATATTTGAGAGATTTAATTTTGAAATATGCCAAAAATTTTCAATAGTCATCAATGAAGCAGATTTACAGTACATATTCGTCTTCTTCACCTTAGACTTAAAGCACTATCCTATATCCATCCACATTGATTGATAGATCCATTGCGACAATTCTTAGACTTCTCATAATCTCCTTACTACAATAGCTAGAGAGTCAGAGACTCAAATAGTACAATAAACAGATCAAACAATCATGCCTCGGATTTCATTTGCAAGTACTACTGCGAAGTAATCGTAGCTTTTTCTTCACCCCAGGTCAACTCTCATTCATGAATACCTACGCAGGGGAACGTCTCAAAACCCCTGGGTTATCCAGACATACCTCCATCATCCGTTCACATTTCTCCGCGCGAAATGTGGTCTTAGGTGTCTCCTTCCCTAGTGGAGTAGGTGCCCAGACTACTCAAACTATATCAGAGAACACTACCGAGAGGCGGATCACGGCACCTTCCATCGGCTGCCTGTTTTTATAGTGTCAGCTACACTCTATATCAAAATTTCGCCTTAGTCGAAATTATATCCTTCCTTTGCATCAGCTTGTTAACTTGTCCCGATTTCTCTCCCGCCCATCCTCGGGAATAACCTCCCAGATTTTTGCACCACGACCTTTTCCTCTGACGGGCCTTTCTATTCTCATGGCAATAAATCTGCAGGTTAGCCGAGCCCAGATAAGGTCGACGTGAGGTATAATTATCCAGGTGAGACAGTGGTGAGTCGTACTTGAAAACTTCATCATTTCGTGGTAAGGGATGATTTCGTAGGGGGTAAAAGTCTAGGAAGAATAAACGGCTTAATTAACATGTAAGGCCACTATTTTTGCTACTGCGAAATCTGACTACACATCCTGCTGCAAGAATAATCTTCTTCCGGGGTAGTGGGAAAAAATGTTCTACTTATTTGAAAGATATTTTATTGAGTCCCCTCCATTGCTAAAAACGTTCCAAATTTGACTGCCCATTCGCGGAATCGAACTGCGGATCTTCTCATTTTCGCAGCCTTACGAGTGAGACGCTGTACCCCTAAGCCAAACGGGCGTTGGTATATCGAAACTGAGAAGATTAATATTCAGCAAAATTATACAGAGCTGGTTAGTTCTCACCTTGCCCACTACAAACCCACTTAGGCTCTGACCAGAATTAGCCTCGCTGTTAAGTGAACTACATCTATTCTTTATTCCCAAAATGCCAGCAAGTGCGAATAATTCGCATTCCAGTGGTGCTAGTGTAATCGTTCAGTATGCTCTGCATATCCGGGATAACTAAGAAGAATCGCAACCTCAAGCGTATCTTCATCAGACGACTTCTTGAAAATGCCTCTCTTATCATTCTCATCTGAGGTCTCCCCCTCAATTTTGCTACACTACCTCGACTCAAGCACCGATAATGGCATTACCCCAATGGCAATCGGGAATTTGCTCATCAATAATCGGCCGTCTTCCACTACAAGAATACGATGTTATGTATACCCGCGACGAGAAATTCAAGTCATAATCTACAATGCTCGGGTCTTGGTCTATGGGGGACCGTTGCTCTAATGGGGTTTTACATCTTCAGGGAGGAGAGGCAGCTGGGACATGGTTCGAGCGAGTGAAGAAGTCACAAATGGGCATGCTGTGTCGCAAATTTTTCGAGTGTTATAGACTCAAAGATTCTATGGGCCCAAAAGCAACGACTTCATATAGTGCGACCGATACTCTGAAATCAGGCAACGATTGAAGGTGTTTTGGTCCGCCTCCTGGTCGTCATCTCCTCGAATTGAGGTCTGGGTAGCTTGGACATCTACCTCACTCGAGAAAGGGAGGATTGTGAGTCCATATCTCGCGCGGTAGTTATTTACAAGATGACAAAGGCATGTTAGGTTAACTAGAGGTTTTTCCTGTTTTTCCTTTGGTGGAAATTAACGGTTGAGGGAAGGGCTTGTGCCTGTCACAAATTGTTATCCATTCATTCTGCTCCCCAAAATTCTAGAAGTGGTCACCACTACTAGTTTAACATTACAGACACAACGAAACCGAGCCTGGTACTTGGCACTCCAAAATTTTAGGGTCCATCACCT